ATTATTGAGAGACAGGCTCACTGTCTGTTCCTCAGGCTGGGACAGGAGATCACACACTGTATTATTATTATTGAGAGACAGGCTCACTGTTCCTCAGGCAGTGACAGGAGAAGACATTATGGGCAGTAGCATCATTGATATCCCTTTCCCAGTAGAATTATGACAGGTGTGAGAATTCTGAGACTCGGGTTATTGATCAGGTGATATTAGTTGATCATAGTTCAGGTGGGGAGCTGGGTCAGCATGCATAGGCTGCAAAGGAACAAGTAATAGGTTTATTCCCTGCTGAAAAAAAGAAGAAAGAAAACACAACGTTTCGGCCTTGGAGCCTTCTTGAGGTGTGAGCACCTGAAGAAGGCCTCCCACACCTGAAGAAGGCTTCCCACACCTGAAGAAGGCTCCACAGCCGAAACGTTGTGTTTTCTTTCTTCTCTTTTCAGCATGGAATAAACTTATTACTGTTTAGTTGATCATAGTCAGGTTATAACACACAGGAACTGGAGTTGTTGAGTTAGTTTATCTACAGGCTGTGCACATGATTTCATTAAAGCTTCCCAAGATAAAAATAAGTGCTGGTTTATAGGAGAAATATTTCCCCTCCTTGAGCTCCACTTCATGAGCTTAACAAGATCTGATTTCTGTGAAATCGACTCTAGACTAAACAAACTGAAACAAAGGCCAGCTTGTTACTAAGTCATGGGGAAAGAGAGCAGGGAGAGAGTCAATGTACCTTCAGTAAACCACAATAAAGCCAAAAACAATAGCATGAAATTAACTCTCCTTTCCTCAGTGCAGTTTTAATGTACTGGAGTGTCCAGTCAGTGTGTCTGTATTAACCCCTCTCTCTCAGTGCAGTGTTCATGTACTGGAGTGTCCAGTCAGTGTGTGTATTAACCCCTCTCTCTCTCAGTGCAGTGTTCATGTACTGGAGTGTCCAGTCAGTGTGTGTATTAACCCCTCTCTCTCTCTCAGTGCTGTGTTAATGTACTGGAGTGTCCAGTCAGTGTGTGTATTAACCCCTCTCTCTTCCTGTTCACAGGCCCACCGTGAATCCACAGAAAGGCAGTCAGGAAGGATGAATGCACTTTTGCAGTTGGCAGTGTTGAGTCTGTTGGCCACACTCTGTGTGTCCTATGGTGAGTTTGCTCTAATGTACTGTCTCCCTGCACCTGTCTGTGGACACGCACTCACACACACACCCCAGAGCTGCCCCGTGTGGCAGCAGCCGGACAGCAGAGAGACACTCTGACTTCAGGAGGTGTTTCTGGGAGTAAACATACTGAGGGGCTGCTCTCTGTTTCAGATTCCTACGAGAGTAACGAATCCCTGGAAGGTAAGAAGATCCCTTCTCCTCCGAGTCTTCACAGTGTGTGGAGCCCAGTGTGTCTCTCTCTTCTACCTCATAACCCCCTCTCTGTCACTGTACCTGTCTCTCTCTCCTACCTCCTTAACTCCTCTCTCACTCACTGTACCTGTCTCTCTCCTACCTCATAACCCCCCTCTCTGTCACTGTACCTGTCTCTCTCTCCTACCTCATCACTCCTCTCTCTCACTGTACCTGTCTCTCTCT